ACTCTAGGCATCGAGATTTATGCATAAGAATCTGAAAATTTGTAAAATAATAGCTAGAGAAAATACCACATATCAAGGCAATACCTTCAAAGAAAACCCGTTTTTTCGCTCTTCTATAAAGTTGGAGTACCGTAAGATAGGCGGTTTTGCAAAAACAGCGATGAAATGTATGTATGTACATACATACATATAAAAAATGGATTTTCTAAACATATACTTGAATATTCAAATGTTCGCATTACTCGGATATTCAAAATTCTGGATAGAATTCCCAACCCTAGTGTCCACAAGTTATAACAGCTTAAGTCTGGAGGTTGTCTTACGCCGCCGAGCCACCTGATGTCTTTATAGCTCGGTCGGCGCCTAATGAATTTTGAATAAAATATTTATATATTGCAATATATCGCTTGAAGCATCTACTACACATAAATAATGCTATCTTACAAGAAAGAAATAAGAGAAAAGAAATACAGAGTAAAAAGTCCTGAAGTGGCCAGCCCCCTCAATTTTCACACACTAACGAATATTGCTATAAGCGCATTTGCATTTCTTAGCTTCAGTATCCACAAATATATCAGCAAAATATTTCGCCAGCATTCGATTTTTTTACATATTTTTTATTTTTTTTAATTAGCATTTTTGGACCTTATTTTCTTAATAAGAATTGCAACCAAAGTTTTCATGCGATTTTCATGAAACTTTGTGAGTACGTAAAAAAACTAGTTTTCTAAAAGATAAGAAATTTTTTAGCAGTTTCAAATTTTTCAAACTTTATTAAACTTTTTCTTTTCATTAAGTTTAAGTGTAAGAATTTTCCTTGCAATATTTTATTAGAACTATGTCGGGGAACTAAGTCAGTTGGGTAATTTTGGTGAAATACTTAATCAACAACATATTAAATATGCATTTACATATATATGTACATAAAATGGGCAGTTAGGTGACTTTGTATACTCCTATGCCGGATAAAACTTTGTGACTTCGCGTGACATTTACATATACATAACTTTGCCAACAAAGCGCAATTCGAAAAAGGTATGCCACAATGAACGCCAAAGAAACAACTTTCTACTGCTTGTGAAAATTGCTGTTGATTTTATATATTTAGTTTTACAAATATCAGCAGTGTAATTAAGCTGTATGTTTCTGCGTCAAAATTCGAATTTGGACGAAATAATAGGAGCGTTCCTCATCTCCCAGAAATAGTCAGAAAAAGTCCGAAGTAGTCAGATTTAGTCCAAAAGCGTTCCTTAACTCGGAAATGACAGCAAAAATGAGAGAGCAACACTCAGGGCCGTTTTCTGATGTAACCTTTAACTTTAAAGCTTACTTTATATTTAAAGGTTGGATTAAAAGTAAAGCTATGTCTAAAGTTAAGCATTTCTATTATCAGTTTATGACGTATGTATCTTTCTTGGTTGTAAACCAATTTAAAACGGGTAATAAAATGCTCTACTTTAGGCACAATCTCAAATTTTAATGTAACCTTTAAATATAAAGTGAACTTTAAAGTTACAGGATACTTGACCGGCTAAATCTAGCCGGAAAACGGCTAAAATGGCAACGCTGGTAGTCATATTTAGTCAGAAGATTTTTTTCTGGCAATATCCTGAAAAGTGTCAAACTCAACTGAATTTAAATTGACGGAAATTAAAGAATACGCAAAAGGTGATAATAATCTAAAAAGTAAAAAAAGTGAATTGAAATTGGAAGGAGGCAAAAAATAATTGATATAGTAAGGGCCGGTTACTCAATGTCTGGTTAACACTAATCTGCGGTTAAACATCGTTATCGACGTCTTCGACTCCATGCATACAACAGGGAGTCGGTAACGTCGATAACAATGTTTAACCAGAGATAAGTGTTAACCAGACATTGAGTAACCGGCCCTAAGTGTTTATTGTGCTTGTGCTTGTGTGAATGTGTTTTGTACATACATTTCCATTCTTATTTGACGTTAGTTTTGTTGTTGCCATTCTTTGGACTAAAAATTTGGTTTTTTGCGTTCCTTTACTTTTCCTGTTATTCTCTTTTAGTGAGCGCATTTTGCTTACGCTCTGGCATTTTGACACTTTTCAGATTTTAGTCCAAAAAGATAAGGAATGAACCTAATATAAAAATTAAACTAGCTGATGGTCAACGCGCGCATACATATGGGGCATGCCTCGTGCGTTTTCATTCATTTCATCTTATGCATCAAAGGGAATCGGTCACGCAGAGCGAAGCCAGCGTTTTATTTGGCATCAGTCTGTGTGTCAATTCAATCATTTATTGAACAATCGGTCACGTATTCCCATTATTGGTCGCTGAATAAAAGAATTTCCAAACAACACTACTCTGTAACTGCCAAAATGTACGAATCTGTACAAATGTACCAGAGACCATTATTGTTGCCGCGAATCATTTTTAGTGGTAGCTAAATTCCCTTTAAAAACTAAAAAGAGCTAAAAGAAATTCATTGTGATTAAAAATGGTAGCATATAATTATTATGAAAAGACGTAAATCATTTCCGTCTTAAAATAAATGTCCCACGAGACGAAAATAATAAAAATCCCATATAATTATTTAAATATTATGAAAAGACGTAAATAATTTCCATCTCAGATTAAGATATTTCTCGTAAATAATTATTATTCAAAGAAAAAAAAATTCTCTTAAAACAAAGCGACGCACAATGCTTCCCCTCCATATGAAAAATAGAAATAGAAAAATAGGGCAAAAATAGAATTATGGACGGATTTCAATGAAAATTTGCTTCTTAGTAAAATTGAGGACGATAAATTCAAAAATGCAATTGGTTTTTGGATAACTTACATACTTTCACTGTAAATGCAGTTTGAAGTTGAAAATTTGGGTTATTGTGGCTTTTACATAGGTATGTACATATAGTTCGTTCTATTTTCAAAAGTGAGGCGTGAAATGACAGGGCTTGGCCTGTAGATGTGCAATAAAGTTTTTTATTTTTGAAAAGGGTTGCCAACTGTTACAAATTTTATTAAAACCATTTAATAAGTTAAATGAATTAGATATTAAAATATGGGTATCAATTGAACTAGTTTTGAAAATACTTTACCTCTAAATGACACGTAGAAGGGTTGCCACATGTCTAAAGAATCAAATTCACTTTAATTAAGGGAATAAGGTAACTGAAATATGTATATCAATATGAATATAAGACAAATGAAAAAATTTCACATATTTAGCAAGAAATAAATGGAGAGTAAAAACATTCTTGAGTTAATTTAAGAGTCCAGTAATTTAAAGAAATGTAATCAGAACAAATCACTGATTGACAATGTATGTATTTGTACTAAAACCACAAATACGATGGCGTAATCCTATGGTTTGACTTAATTATTATTTTATTTTAACTAAATTCGACTTTACAAACAGGTGGCAACCCTATTCGTAATATTTTTAGGCTAAAACCTTCTTAAACCTCTTTCGTCTGTTTCCCTTATGGTGATACCTATCTATTTCAATTACCTAGTTCCTTTATCAAGTGGAATTTGTTTATTTAAACAGATGGCAACTCGCTGCATGTAATATATTAATAATATTAATATATATTTCGATTGATACCCATCTCTTAATAATTCATTTAACTTTTAAAAACCTTTTAATATAATTTTCTAACAATCTAATTTTTTAACAGGTGGCAACTTTTTACAGAAAAAAATAAACCTTCTATTGTCCACAGGTCAAGATTTTTAATCTGACACTTAAATTTTGTAAATGGAACGAATTGTGCAGATCTCAAGGCACTGTCAAAAAATGAAAAAATATTTTATGCATTAGCGAAAAACGCATTACTTCAGAAAGTGCAAAAACTGAGCAGGTTTTTATTTCTTCTTTTGAAAGCTAAAAGCCTGTACTATATAATAAAATAATAAGAAATAACATATTTTTACATATATTTTTTATTCATTCCATTAAAATTTAGCATTTTTGGAAAATTTGTTTAAAAAATCGTTTTTTTTTTGGAACACCTTGTGTTTAATTTTATCCCAAAAATTTAATTCCTGTAATTCTCTACTATCTATATGGAAACAAGAAATGTCGAACCAACATTTTCTTTTAAAGAATATATTTTTGACATTTTTTTCTGTGAAGAGCTTACGCCTGGCTATGCTTTTATTAAAATTCTTAGTAAAAAATTTGTCGACTTTAGTGGCTTGCTGGCGGCATATAATTATTATTTTAGGGAAATGTCTGTTTAATTCTTTTTAGTGGATAAATTGTCTTTACAGAAATACCAAACAAGTTCAGATTGCAGATAACGAATTTTTCGATTTATGTACACTTAGGCGGCACTGTGCGACGTTTTGATTCCAAATAGTAGGATGATAATTATTTTGGGTCTCTGAAACGTACTCACACGAATTCCAGAATATAAAAATTTCATCCAGAGTAATCCAGTAAGTATTGTTACTTTTATGTGTTTACAGTGTTAAACACCATTTTGATATGTGATTTTAGTTAAGTATGCAAATGAATTCAACTGTTACCGAGTATAAAAGCTTTATTTTCACACTTTTTTTTTTATATAAAAACTAAACAAATATTAATAACAACTTTCAACGATCTCAATTAAAAATTCAAACTACCATTTTAATTAGAAGTTTTATTGAAAATTGATACTTCGATACTTAAAGCTTTTTTTTTATGATATTTTTGATCCATTTTCGAAAATTTTGGTGATACATTTCTTCTGAATATGCCGGCAACACTGATAGTGACGATGGGGGAAACCTGTCTTGTTCCAGTAGCCAGGCTGGGTTGCGCCGGCTGCGTGCGATTGTGAATGACGCACCGGGCAAATCTTAGCAAATAAATGGGAATGAAATAAATATGATGCCAGTCATATTCTGTCAACGCTCCAAACAAGTATCTTCAAAAAACTAATCGGAAAGGTGCAATATGTCGAAGCCAACCCCCTGACTTCAGCGGTTATGACTTGTGGGCACAAATAAGCATTTATAGATTTCTGAGCACTTACGCCTTCATTGATCTCCTTCATCATACCCGACGTTACATTAGTTGTCTTATTAAAACCGCCGTAATCGCTACCGCCATTTATAAAAGTATAATTGAAGCCTAATTTTGCGGCCAATTCTTTTATCAAATCTATGCTATATCCTTCATACTGATTGTTGCCAATCAATTTTTTGTGACTCTCAACTAAACTTGCGTAAGGTTTGTTCTAAGCAAATTTATATTTTGTTTTTGTTGCGTGAAGAGGTACGAATGTAGTTGTTGCATGAAAATAAACATGTTTAAAAAAATAAATAAATATATGTATGTAGTGTATGTAGGCTAAAACGTATAAAACGAATCCGGGGAAGAAAAAAATATGCATATAAAAAATTCCGGGGGTTGGGATCATATATTATTATACCGTATATAGANCAAGATCATGCGATTTGACGCCTTTAGACTATTTTTTGTGGGGCTACGTCAAGTCTAAAGTCTACAGAAATAAGCCAGCAACTATTCCAGCTTTGGAAGACAACATTTCCGAAGAAATTCGGGCTATTCCGGCCGAAATGCTCGAAAAAGTTGCCCAAAATTGGACTTTCCGAATGGACCACCTAAGACGCAGCCGCGGTCAACATTTAAATGAAATTATCTTCAAAAAGTAAATGTCATGGACCAATCTAACGTTTCAAATAAAGAACCGATGAGATTTTGCAAATTTTATGCGTTTTTTTTAAAAAAAAAAGGTATCAAGCTCTTAAAAAATCACCCGTTAGTATGTATTTGAATTTGTTTCGGTTAGTAAGGGCCAATTTCAGATGAATATTTAAACGGCACCTTAGTTTAATTCTGGATTGTTATTTAATTGTCATTTAGCTTTCGTTGGCTTTCAGATCAACTTTAAAAAATTTAAAAATGCCAAGTCAGGGGCAACATTGTTGCTTGTTCCTGGAAATTTTTGTTGAATTTGTTTGTTTATGTACATTTTGGGCTGAACAGCTGATTTTTGTTTGGCAAGATTGATAAAACAACCCATCTATCAAACTTGGCCAATATTGGCCATTTAAGTGGGTATTAAATGTATGATCTGAAAATGAATTTTTCAAGTTAATTAACAATCTCTACTTAAATAGGCCATCTGAAATTGGACCTAAGAGTGGCGCAGCTACGAAGTTGATTTATATAAGAAATGTAAAACCAAGGACCGCAATCATGACGAGTTCTTTCAAAAAGATTGATTTTTAATCAGGTATTTTTTTTTTGAGATCTTAAACATTGTATACAACAAAAATAGTACATATGTACCTTTCTGAGTATCATTGTTTTGTCCAGTCTGTTCAAGTCTGATTTTTTCGTGACAGTTCGGCGTTTTCGGCCATATTTATAAAAATTAATGTATATATATGATAAGTATTAAAACTTACAGGCACTGAAATCAGAACACGAAATGTTTGGTTCACTAAGGAATCGGCATCTCCCTCGCTTGGTAACTCTATTTGAGGTGGACGTTGAAGAGTAAAGTTATTCCGTTCGTCCCAAGTGCCTATTTTAACAAGACCGCTTGATTGTAGCTCTACAACATCGAGGATATATCCCTTACGTATATTGCCCTCAAAGTAAATTTGACCGGTGATAGTATTTTCGCGAATATTGATCTACACTGATTGAAATGTTGATTACATTTCCAAGATTAGAGTTTACATACATACATAAGTACACATATGTACATATATATATATATATATATACATACATATATAACAATGAAAGTAAAGTAAAAAGAACAGTTACATATGTACACGTTTGGAAGGGGAACGTTACCGAGCGCATGTAGTTTCGAAATGTTGATCCATCTGGCTGCACGAGATCGCTGCTATCAGAACAGTTTAGCGGTTGAGGACGATATATGAGACTCCTTGTAGTTTCGGCAAATACTTGAACTGCATCATACGTCAATGCCATTTCTAAAGTTATCGGACATAAACCTGCTGAAATATTAAATTTTTGTGAAGCCAAATCCTACAGAAATCATCCTCAAAGACAATAGAACACAAAGAAGATGCAAAGTCCGTCCGGTTCATTTTCCTGGCTGACTCTCCAGTTCTTTATATTCTATATTCTTTGATACATACTGCACACACATGATTCAATAATAGAAAGGTTTTGTAATAAAACATTCTTCCCTCTCCCACACATAAAATCGGCTCCTTTATTTGTGCAGAATGTTGCTTACTCTATAGTTTCTAGTGATATTAGTAGTTAAACCAAAAATTCGTCATACTAAATACTCGTTGGCATCACCTTCGTGTGCGTAATATTCTAGAACAAGTGTAGAATAGTGACCGTTTAGCTATAAAATAACCAAAAATGTCGATTGATAGAACTTTTTCGCTGATTTCAACGATACCAAATTTATTTGGCGCAGGCTAAAAATAAAGAAGATATAAGAGGTTTGTTTGTTTTGTTTATTCATATTTTTTATTATCACTTAATTCTTAAAACCCAAAAGTAGATCATGATAAAATATGTAATATCGAATTAAAGATAATAACTTATACTTTCTAAATATTATAAAATTCTTTACCATTAATTATGCAGTTTCTTTCAAAAAAGGTTATTTCATTAGAAAATAATAGTTGTTCGTTTTTAGTGGTTTTGGTTAAAAAATACAAAAAGCTATAAATTATATACATCAGCTAAAGAACAAATTAATTACCTTTATGGTGACCTCATTAGCTTTTTAATCGGTTATAAAGTTCATAAGATATTAATATTTAAAATATCTAAAAACTGAACTTTAACCTTCTAGAACCTCTTCATTTTTTACTTGCGCCAAATCATTTTGGCATGGTTGAAATGAGCATAAAAAGTTCTATTGATCTGCATTTTTCGTTTTTGCATAGCTGAACGGTCGGTATTCTAGATTTGTTCCCGGAAATGACGAATAACTTAAATCAAAAATGCATATTTCTATGTATTGTTTAGTATTTCCATTAAAACACCAAATATATTGCAAATTCACATTGAATTAATAATACGCATTTTACTTCTAATTGTGTACTTTGTTTACTTTTTGTAGTACCATTCTACTACCGTTTTCGCAAAATGAGATCACATTCTTCCCCTTTCTCCTACTTCCAAAATACAAATCTAGATAAAGTAGTGTCAAATTTTAGCTGTCACAAATTACACAACCTTGTATTATTGAATCATGCGGCGCACATATGTATATATGACTGTAAGTACAATACATTTTATTGAATTACATACATACATATTTACGTACATATACATATGTATTCACTTGCGGTCACCGAAAGCGGACTGTAAAGCTTTTGTAGGCAAAGTTCAAATAGAAAACGCTTTGCAGAGTGAATTGTATGTAGAATTTAAATATCTTGAATAATTGTGTTGCAAGAATTAGTTGTCATTCACCCGACATGCATGGCACAATAAATTTCTGGCGCTATCCCTTTGAAAAATTTCACCGATTGGTCTGTGTAGCCATTACAGCAGTCATGCGTATCTGACCAACGGAAGTACTGGGAACCATCGCAGGTATACCTAATGTGACCAACCGTACTTCTTTCGGAAGTACAGGGCATGAATCACGTAACTTTCAAACGATAGTCGTTCAAACGATACTGACAAAACGACGTCGTCAAAACACTGATTTATGCATTCGTGTTGTTGTTACATGTTACTGTTACTGTTAGGTGAAGCAAAACTGAAAACGAGTTGACGATATCGCACAAGCGTACAAACAATTTTTGGTTTTCACGAAGCAAGACAATCTGGACATGATATCGTTCAGACGATTGTCTTAATACGTGATTCATGCCCTGTACTTCTTTTCGAGCTCTTGTACTTTACTCAAATGTACTTCTTTGCGATATATTTCACTTCATGTCATGTACTTCTCCGATCATCTGGACGATCATTACATGGATTATTGCCTTGGAATAGTCGGTAGATACCACCCTGCATACATTGCTAAGGTGACGAGAGGAAGCCTTTAAGTAGGGGTCTTCCTTGATATCGAGGAGGCATTAATCAATGTCACTCCAGAGGAAATAGTCAGGTCTATTCATAATCTTGGAGTTCATACCAAGGCTTATATACAGCTTACTTCGTGACAGAACTGTCTTGGCGGAGTGGGGGAGCGCCTGCACTCAGCGCAGAGTGAATAGGGGTACTCCGAAAGGTGGTAGTTTCTCACGCCTACTCTGGATTGCGGTTGTAAATGATCTGCTAGAGGAACTGGAAAAAGTGCGCTGTCGGATGATCGTGGAACTCTTGGTTAAGTGACGATTTCTAGACACGATTTTTGATTTGGCTCAAGGTTACCTAAACCAGGTAACTAGCTGCACGATCGACGGAAAGACAGAACTGGTACTGTTTGACAGGAAATACAAGACACCCGTTGTTGTCCTTCCCTCGAGTGGGGGTGTTCGTCTGTGGATCTCAGACAGGGTTAAGTAATTAGGCTTGGTCCTGGATAGTAAGCTGTCGTGGAAGCCTAACATTGAGGAAATGATAAGAAATCCGTCGGTTGCCTTGTACTGCTGTAAGGAAGCTCCCTGTAAAAGGTGAGGTCTCTCGCATAAAATAATTCATTAGCTCTATGAAATCAGATTTAAGCCTATCTTGTCTCACGGAGCCTCTGTCCGGTAGAATTCACTAGAAAAGGCTAAACTTGTAAAAAACTGGAGCGTTTACAGCGAATCGCCCTAATTGGAATTAGTAGAGCATTAGAAACCACACCTGGCGCTTAACGTCGTGTTGAACACGGCGCCTGCGGATATTGCAGACAGAATTGTCGCAGTACGAACTGATGTTAGGCTCAGAGAAACCGCGTGGTAATACTCTGGAGTTCTGGAGGGCTTTGTCTTTGAACACATAGATTACAGCGCCTCTGAACTAACTCCAAGAAGCCCCTTCTCTACCTATATTCTCTCAAGAGAGGACTAGGTAGGGCGGCGTTCCTCGAAGAAGGGAGCGATAAACTTCTTCATCCGCATTCTTCCGCATTCGGAATTCGGGAACTAAATTAAATTACTAAATTAAGGGTATTCGTTCAATTTTTTCGTGATATCAAAAAGGACTATCCCTCAATTGTCCAAGTGTGTCCCTTGCCTGGGGCAACCACTTTAATCTAACCCAACCCAACCTGTACTTCGTTGAGCTATGAAATAGTTGGTCACATTAGGTATAGCACCTCTAGCTATACTTATTGAAAATTGGGTTTGCTGGAGCGATTTGTGATTTGGCAATCCCATAATCAGACAAAAGGCTACCGAAAGTGTCCTTCAACCAGTCCTATAAGATTATGATTCCTAAAGGGGACATTTGCAGGGATATAATCATGATAATTTTTCGATATCACTAAGGTGGCGATAAATAATATAAAATCGACTTTCTTCCAATATATTTAATGCTAGTGATATATTTAGGTATTCAAAATTTAGTAGACTACCCCAACTCTGATAAATGGAGTAAAAGGTAGAAAATAATGTTTCCTTGACTTATAGAATTAAAAACCCTTTATATGTTATTATTTTAAACGACAAATTAAAGAGTAGAGAAGCGTGAACTTGTCGTCATAACTTTTCCAAAAATATACTTCAAAATCTGGGACTGGTACTAAATACGTGCGTTAAACGAATTTCCATCGTTATCTCTGCATAAGCACTTCATTCCACTGAAAACTAAGTAATATTACCTTTACTCTCGTGGTATGTGGATATAATAAGCAAACATCTGTTGACTTCGGATAATCCATTAACAACAATTATCGGTATTTTATAAGCTAACACGATGTTACGAGCGATTTCATTTCTGTATATACATATGTACATATGTACACACATAGATTCTCAATTTACATATCGTCGTTTAAAAAAAAAAAAAAAAACCGCGTATCAACAAAATGCAAAACCGCATACATATGTATGTATGTACAAATACAAACCATTGTCTATTTGGTCATTCTCATTATTGCCTAGTTGCGATATGAGTTCCTGGACAATTAACTGATCTGGTGAGAACATGCGTATGCCAGTTATATTTGTGTCACTATATTTATATTCTTCTAAATCAAAAGTATGGAAATCTAGATTGCCTATAATATACGAATATTTGTCATTTATGATTCCAACTTGCTGTGCCTAGAAGTGTAAAAAAAATTGTGACAATTTATGCTTGCAAAATAGCGTATCTTCGGGTATTATGATAAAAGCTTCTATTTAATAAGCCACGTTAATTTTTTTCCAAAACTTGGTTGCTTTGTGACAATACTTGCTGCACAAAAGTCTGTTAAATTAGAAAACAAGTTTACTTAAACTTATATTTTGAATATGAGCAGACTACTTACTCATTGTGTTCGTCATTTTGGATAAGGAAGCCCATAAACAGTATACATATATCAATGCGCTTTCCCAGTTTCAGTAAAAAACAAACGGACTAAAGGGCATACTATGTACTTACATATGTATAAGCGGGGAATGCTTACAAATATCGAAATCGTTGTAGAATTTAATTCAGGGTCATTATTTTATAGAAATTATCCTACCTAATTGNACAAATGTAAAATAACCCAAAAAACTTAATTCCAAGATGGCAGAATGTTGCCAAATGACATTTAGGGGCAAGACTGTGATTCCATGAATCAAAACTGCATCAAAAAATCGCTGTTACAATTTTTTTTTTTAATTTCCTACCAAATTTATCTAATTTTACTGGACTAATTACTGATCTTCTAATTTACGTAGCCTAACCTAATAGATATATCGGCCAACGAAAATATTTTTGCTCCGGAATTTTTTGATGTGCTTATAGGCGGAAAAGTGACAATTAGCTGAAAAGGAAAATACAAAAACATAAAACATTCGCTTCTGGCTAGGTTAACGGGTTCAATAATCATTGGCGATTTCTTACGTTAGCTTAGTTGAGTCTAGACTAATTGAACTTTTACTAGTAAACTTTTTCAGCTCTCCCGTGAGACTCACGTTTTGGCTTTCTCTTGCAAGTTTTTGGTGTTACTGAACTTGCAGTAAAAGCCAATCAAATTTTTTTGATGTTAAATAAACCTATAACGTTACTATAGTAAAAACATTCATCCTAATAAAACGTCACCACATTAAAGACTCCTCATAGCAATTTATTCTATTCCTACATTCGTTATTGTGATCCGAAAAGAAAAACAGTAGTCCATAATACCCGAAGCTACTCTGTGTACATATATGAGAAGTACGCATTTTAAATTTGATTAAGATTTTCATAGTTCTTATATTTATTTATATTACCTGCCTTAAAAGCTCGGCTACCGACGGAGTTGAGCCTACCACCACAATCTGTCCATCATCCGACTTGCGCACGCGTCGTAGGACCGCTTTGTAGTTTCCGTTCAATTTGAGGTCGTACCGTAGTACATTAATGACCGGACCGTCACTGACGTAAAACGACATTAAACCGTTTAATATGCTTAAATAGTCAGCTGTAAAATAAATAGTCATATAAATTGCATGTACTTGTTTGAATGCCATATTTATATATGTACATACAAGATTCATAGAGAAAAATAAACCGTGTCCATTCAAATACGTTGATAAGATCATGGAGTATGCGCGCCAAATCCATTGGATGTGGGTAAAGGTTAAAGCCTTCCAAATGCTCACTCATATGCGGGTATACATAGGGGATATCCTTGGCATCACATATTGTTAGCAGATGTGCGGAAGTTTGACGCGAAGAAGGACCAAAAATGGCACCTATTCCATTCTAAATGCAGTTTAATGGAAGATTTCAAAGAACACTTGCTTATTATTGCTTACTAAAGAGTATTACATATTATTTTTATAAATTATGTTGCTTAACAAAATTAAATAAATTCCAAAAATTTTTTAATTGACATAGTCCATTCCGAATATCTGGTCGAGTAATTTACTAAACTATGCATGTATGTACATTAGAGTGGGCCATATTTTTTAAAACACGAAATTTGCGGCTGCTATCCCCTGAAGTGATTTTCTGCAATCAAAGATAATCCCTCCAAATTTTAACCCAATTGATCAAAAATAATAATCTTTGCCACAAACGTGCCAAAGTTTGAATAATTGTAGAATCGCTTTGCGTAAGTACCCTCGTTGGCTAGTCATGGGTTGTGATCGTTTATGATACAAAAATGTTAGATTGGGCGATAAAGTACCGATATCCATACTAACATACATACATATATATCGTTATTGCACACGAATAAAAGCTAGTGTTTTGACGGCGAAAAAAAGACGCGTAGAAAAAATTTACGAAAAAAGACGCTTAAGAAAAACATCGGCGAAGAAAGACGCGTAAACATAGATTTGTACCAAGGACTGTCACTTAACCATAATTCCCCAAAAACTCTTTAATAAGTTTACGCGTCTTTCTTCGCCGTCAAATATTTTAACGCGTCTCTTCGCCGTCAGCTATAGCTGAAGTTTTTTTACGCGCCCTTATTCGTGTCTAGTGACGATACGTACATACGGTAGATATCAGTGTTGATAATTTCGATACAATTGTACTTTTCAAGTGCTTTCTACTTTCCTACAACCCAGCACTTTTTAGTACAATTTCGTCTGCCAAAATTTGGCAACACATGATTCGTTAAGTTATACAGAATTGTTTTGATTATTTTCTTAGATGATAGATTAAGAAATCAAAACACAGAAAAACTGAAAGAGGAAGATATTCTGAATTTTAGAAAAAAACGTGGCACTTTGTAAATTTAAAAATATCTATTCATTGTGCTTAGATATGTACATGTATTTAAAATCACAGCGCCTGATGTAAAAGTGTGTATATTTTACGTAAATAAAATAGAGGTAATATTGTTTCTAAATTTTTAGCAATTATTTGTACTTTATTAGGAACAACAATTAAATACAACTTATACACAATAAAAAAAATAAAAATTCGGTACAATTTAGTGATAAAAAGTACAATTTTAATTACATTTTCGTACGAAATTGGAAAATGCAGTTATCAACACTGGTAGATACATGTGTATTTTTGTTGTGGCTCAACTCACGGAGAACTCTGGGCAAAGATTGTGAGATATCATCTATGAGTACGGTGGCCATATTTATTCTAGCCAAATATTGAGGAAAAATGCGTATTTGAATTTTTCTACAAATGCTAAAGAATTCCAAATTTTGTTTAAATAAACATGAATATTTCAATAATTCTAATACATAACTAATTTCTGCTCCTAATCAGCAGTACCAGGGTTTTTTTTTGTCAAATTATACTCCAGAGGTGCGTTCTGCCAAGTCGGTGCTTCTTGGATTCAACCTCTGGCACGAGAAACATCCCAAAAAATTTTAATTTTGTTTTTGAAGCGGTCGAGAAAGTCGGCCAGCACTGGCGAAAGTGTAGGCCCCAAATATTTTTTATTTTATTTATATTTGTGCTATATATATATTACAGTTTTTTCTCTAATTGTTCACAATTATCAAATATTAAGCAGTCCCACTTTGCCACAGTTAAAACTAAACGTTTTTTATATCGGACCAAGAAGCTATGGGGCATAATCGTAGTTCTCAGTTAGAGACAGCTGTAGTTAGAGTAAAACTAAAAAGCTAGAACCATCGGCGTAGCCAGAATGGAATTTAGGGGGTGAAGGAAGGGGGGGGAGGGGGGCTCGACCATATTAAGCTGGCATTTCGGGGTACTATTTTATTTATATATAAGGAAAATTTTAAAGTTAGGGGGGGGCTCGAGCACCCCCCTGCCCCTACCTGGCTACGCCCATGGCTAGAACCCATTTATTTTCGTGGATATCACAGTCAGTTTAGTGCTATATTCTAAACAAACGGGTTTTAACTCAAAACTCTATTACAAAAGTAATAAATTAGCTGTTTCATGTCAACGTGCAACTCTGATATTTTAGTTTGTTTCGGTTAATTACTGCGGCGCTATCATGATTCAATAATGAAAGGTTTTGAAAGTAGCTTTTTTCTAAAATTGGACACTGGTTTTTGGAAGCAGGAGAAAATAGTTCAACCACACTTCTTAAAATGGTAGCTAAATTCCACAAAAAGGTGGGGATAATAGCGCAGGGCAGAATAAGTGAAACTTTATTTCGAGAAAAGACAACGCTTTAAGATAAAAGTTTGCATTACAAAAAAACGTGGCAACCCTCATGGAAAATATTTCTTGATTTAAATTCTCAAAAACACCCTTCATTTGCTATCTTTCATAAATTGTTTGAGGTACAAAATAGGTTCCAAACCCATTCAAAAATATTTCTGAATTGATCTACATCGCCAAACGAGGAGTGCCGTAAGTTTGAAATTACATCGCGCCATTGACTAAACCGAGCTGTCGTGTATTACGATTGGCCCCATGGATGTGGTTTGCCAATATTATACTGCGTCAAAGTCTCATTCGAGGGTGTAAGTCAATACCTAAATACCTTTGTTGACTCATTTACCAGAACCGTTGCGCGCTTTACTTTACAGCGACTGAAATAATGCACGATGTACACAAAGTGTTCGGTGTCCATG